ACATTCGTGGCGGTCTGATTTAGTGGTAACATGTTACAATTTTAGGCTACACTATTCGATTTCCATTTCAGTTCGTGGTGCTGATGAGGCCCTTTTTGGAAACAAGGCTAAGTGAAATTTAATGGTATTCTGAGGTCCATTCGTGTAGTTATGTGATATCCAACTATCAGTCATTCACTAACACTATTCGATTTCTAGCAGGACGGAGTATTTCGTCGTTATACCCCTCAACCTTTCGGTCTTACATAGCCGGGTGCTATAATCTGAGTTAGGCTGGAGAGCTTTTCGGACAAAAGTGATTGGCTCAGCAAGATTAGATAAACTAACGGCTCTCATCATCCCCTCTGCATAAGCATATGCATTCACTAATGCATACTTTTACACTCACGCAAGTGACACTCCGCACCAGCTATGCATGAGTATGCTATAAATATTGTTATACCGTTCTATGACCCAGTTAAACGGATACTATAATTTCTGTTTAGATCTGGTAATAGTGGTTAAGGTGACATCTTTTCAAGTTAGCTTTTAACATTCACTCAATAGTTATAGCCACCCGTCATCACCGCATTTATTAAATTTTTAAACTGATGCTGACAGTCCTATTTAATTAAGTAACTTGAAAGAATATCTGTTTATACGATGGATTAGATGAGATTTCAAGCATTCATTTTTCTCTCCTATTTTTACCTTTATATTTCTTTTCTATAATTTATAACTTAGAAAACCTATCTGCATCTGAAGATTCTGTAGCCAAGCTCAGTCTCAATTTGTCCGATCGTGAGTTAGTCGAAGCGATTCCTGTGCTCAAGGCTGCCTTACAGCCAGCTAAAAACTCCTTCTCCTCTTCATCTTCTTCATCGTCATCATCATCTTTCTCTTCATCATCCTCGACCTCCTCTGCCGCTTCCGGCTCGAATTCGGCCACTATCTCTGGCATGTTTGCCACCCAGTCCACTTTCGATTCCGCCTTTGAAGCCACTGCTCCAGACAGCCTACCGGCCTCCTTGAGCTCTTCTCTTGCCATCGGAGAGGAGCTGGACCACATAGGATCCGTGTCTGCGTTAGTTAGCTTGCCAGTAAGCATGGGCCAAGTCAATTCAGCCCCGCCTGCAATTGCAAAGTCGACAACCTGTGTTTCAACAGCAACCACTCCCAACACGACACCCTCCACCATGTCTAGCACTGCACCAGCCGGACCACTTGTCCTTAATGCATCTTCTTTAAACGAGGATGCCCGATTCTCAGCACAGCCTGCACACCAACACCTCTCGAATTTGTTTCCGCCAGCCCCACCGCAACAGATATTACAGCCGCATACTCATGCACAATCGGGTCAGAAACAAGCTCCTATCCCTATAATGTCAGCAGCCTCTGGAAAAATACTTCCAGTATCTACACCTTCGACTCTGGGTTCTGGACAATTGCTTCAAGTTACATCGAATCCTAGAATGGTGAGTTAAATCATATATAGTATAGATTTTTTTAATTATTGAACTCACTTCCATTTCGAGTGAAAGTCTGTGAGGAAGTGATCCAAAGGAAGATCCCATCAGAAGTCGACGGCGGATTTCCCTTGGCCACCTGTAGATTGGCTTTACTGGGGCATTCTGGCTTATTCTCCATTGTGTCAGGTGTAAACTTCCTAACCTTTCTCTCCTAATTCGCCAGACAATCAGAACAAGTTGCTATTCTTGTAACCATATCTAAATTAAAGAGCCATTTTATACATCATAGAAATGCATAGGTTTGGGGGTGATGGAGTAAGTTTTCTTGATTTTTTGCCTTTTTCTGATGTTCATCACATGACGTACGAAGTTTTAACATGTTTTCACCGAAGATTGCCTTGTGAACAACTTCAACTAGAATCGAAGGTATGAAGACCAAGATGGTGTGACCTTATATGTGGTCGCAGTCTCCTTTCGTTGTATAGAAGTTGTTTGACCTTGTTTTCGTAACGCGGAGGCGATGGGAGCTAATGGGCTGACAGTAGGTTTTATAAGAGACGTGGTCCATGTGGCAAAGGCCTGACCATGAGACTTACTCACA